GACGTGGCCTCGGCCTCCAGCGCGCAGCTCTTCCGCCTTCGCCACCTGCAGCTGGGCCTGGAGCTGCGGCCCGAGGCGCGCGAGCTGGCCGGCTGCCTGGTGCTCGAGCTGTGCGCGCTGCGGCCCGCGGCCCTGCGCCTGCACTCGGCCGCCTTCCGCCGCGCCCCCGCCGCCGCCGAGCCGCCCTGCGCCTTCGCCTTCGCCGCCCCCGGGCCCGCGCCCCCGCCCCCGCTGCCCGCCTTCCCCGAAGCGCCCGGCCCCGAGTCTGCCTGCTGCCCGCTGGCCTTCAGGGTGGACCCGTTCACCGACTACGGCTCCTCGCTCACCGTCACGCTGCCGCCGGAGCTGCAGGCGCACCAGCCCTTCCAGGTCGTCCTGCGCTACACCTCGACCGACGCCCCTGCTGTGAGTCCCGCCAGGGTGGGCGCCTTCCCGCGCTGCCAGGCTAGGGGGCACTAGTAGCGCTCTTCGTCTGGGCCACCTGCAGAGAGGCGGGGCCCGCCGCCGTGTCCTGGAGCCCTGTCCAGGTTCCCTCAGGGATTCCCAGCTGGTGCCTGGGGAGCCCTTAGGCGCCTTGGACAGAGTGAGAGCCCAGGTGCTGGCCCAGTGGAGGTGAGGACAGGGAACAGCATGCCACCAAGGGAGGCCTCTCCGTTCAGGTGTGCGGGGACCGGCCCTGCCTGGGGACAAGGGCAGCTTCTGGTAGGCGCTTGCCAGGCCTTGCATCTGCTGGAGCCTGGCACTGTGGGGCAGGCCAGGGGTGTCAGATGTGGAAGGGCCTCCGTATGACCTGCGCCTTCCGAGGACTTGTGGGCACCACGTCTGTTCTCTGGAGGTGGCATGAGGGACAGACCTGCCGGAGCAGGAAGCAGAGGGCGAGGCTGGCTGTCATGCTTTGGGCCTCCTGGGCAAGGACTGGCGGGGTGCTGTGGCTGAGTGGCCCCATGTCCCCAGCAGACACACATAAGCTCTGTGGGACTCAGGGCACAGAGCTCCCACTGCCCCAGAGGCTCTGCCAGAAAAACTAGATGGCCCTGGGCTTCCGTGTGGACAGCACACCTGTGACACCCCACTCCCCAACACACACACACACACACACACACACACACACACACGTGCGTGCGCGCACACACAATTCTGGAAGGCCCCAGGATGTTCTGTCTGTCACTGCTTATGGCATGCATATGGACAGGGTGACGGACAGGTGGTGTTGAGGCACTGGGCAGGAAGCCACCAAGGTGACATCTGGATTGGAAGAGCACAGACCAGACATACCTGCGGGCTTCCGGCATGATTCCCGGGAGCCCTCAGCAGGCCCTGCCACCTTCCCTCCTTCTCTGCACTCCCACGGGCAGGCTGGCTACTGGCCCACTGGGCTACTCCCACGGAGCTGGCCCACTGCTGCCAGCTCAGGTCACAGGGCTCAGGTAGATGTGCCTCCCGCATTACCTGAGAACAGAGGGTTGTGCACCTCCGACCGTGATGTATGGACTGGAGCCCATTTGTCTGGTTCCCCCAAGACCGGGCCCGGCGGGTGGCGGAACCAGGGCCCTCAACAGGCCACTGGGGGTGGGGCCTGGCCAGCAAGGGTGGCCATCGTCCCTGAGCTTCCTGTGGAGCCCTTGGGTGCTTAGGGCAGGAGGGGTGGCCTGGTCTCCACAGACTGTGGCTCGGGCTGGGAGACTTGCAGAGGACAGAGTGTTTGGTGTCTGACCTCAGGCTCCAGCCGTCACACAGGAACGCCACCGGGCTGGGGGCCTCAATCCCTAAGCCTACCCCTGTGCCAGGTGAGGATGCAGCTCCCTGGGACGCCCTGCCAGCAGGTCCCCACACCTCCAGAGGCAGTTTGGGGTACTGCAGACTCTGGGGTCCGTGCTCCTTGCACGTGTCCCACCAGGAGAAACAGCTTTCCTCCTGCCCTTTGGTGTCTGGAGCCCTTAGGGCTGGGCCTTCTCCACCAGCCCATGCACAGCTGTACCTCTGCTCCCTGTGCTCCCGGATGAGTTGGTGGTCTGCCTTTGGGGCGGGCGTCCTGCCTGCCTGGGGGCCTCACTCCCAGGGAGGACTATGGACCCCAGTGGTCTCTGCGGGGCTGAGGGGTGAGCAGTGCTGGCTGGACTGAGCGATGGACATGGGCAGTGCGGACAGGAGGGCCATGCGGGAGGGGTGCGGGTCTGTGACAGGGGGGCTTGAAGCGAGTTTGAGGGACCATGGGGACCTGTCCCCTGGCAGGCAAAGGACCGCCTGCAGCAGTGTCTATTGTGGGCGTATTGGGGGGGTGTCCCAGCCAGAAATCCTCTGGGGTGGGGCCAGGGGTCTGCATTTTTTAACATGCTCCCCAGATAGGCCTTCTAAACGTGTAGGGCAGCCCCAGGGGTCAGCAGGAAAGGAAGACGGCGCTTGCTGCTTGCTCCCCGTGGTAAAGGGGTAGACAAAGCAGCTAAAAGCAAGCTCCGAAGAAGCTGGTGAGCGCTGGCAGGTCTGCAGGAACAACGGGGAGGCAGCCCTGCCAGGTCCGGGGCCTGTGGGAGAGGCAGCCCCTCCTGGGGTCCGGGGTCTGTGTGAGAGGGAGAACTGCCTGGGTCTGGGGGCCGCAGGGGAGGCAGCCCCGCATGGCGGTGGGCAGCTGGGTGCTGGCAGCCACTGCGGAGCTGTGCAGTGCTCTAGGCACGGGCCCCAGTGGCCTCCCTAGGGCTGTTTCTGTCTAGCCTGTCCTCTCCAAGTGCCTGGTCTCAGCTCACTGCCCACCATTCCCTGACCCAGACCCATCTCCCTGTGGGGGTCCCTCCTGGCGAGGCTGGCCCCATTTTTGGGGTGGCCCTGGGCTTGGTGTGCATGCTCGTCTGGGGGTCATCAGGAAGCTCTGGTCCGCATTTCCACGTTCCTGGCTGAGACCAGATTCGCTGTCAGTCAGTCTGTGAGAATTTGGACTCTTGTGTTCTGGCTGTGCCTCAGTTTCCCTTTGGAGGCTTGGGTGAGGGGCACAGGCTGGGAGACTCCCTGGGCTGGCTCCTGGATGCATGGCCCCCTGCCCGGTAACGTAGCACAGCTGCCCTGCCTGCCCAAGAGGGGTGCGTCAGCAGTGGCGACCAGGAGCGGCCGTGGCCCTGGATGGGCCTCGTCAGACCGTTGCCTCCTGGCCCCTTACCTTTCCTCTCCAGCTGCCGCCGCCAGAGGCCTTGGGCCTAGAAGCCGGCACAGGACAGCGGGGTTGGGCCTATTTGTGAAGCCCTGGCCCTCCCAAGGGCACCTGCCCAGCTCAGGGTGTCCTGGCATCCCCATGGGCCACTCTGTGAGGGACAGGGCCCCCTTGGGGTGCCCCAGCCTCACTGGGGAGATGCGGGTGGTCACTTCTGCCCACTGAGACGGGGAGGGCATCTGCCTGCCTGCAGATCTGGTGGCTGGACCCCGAGCTGACCTACGGCAGCGCCAAGCCCTTCGTCTTCACCCAAGGCCACTCGGTCTGCAATCGCTCCTTCTTCCCCTGCTTCGACACGCCGGCCGTCAAGTGCACCTACTCGGCTGTCGTCAAGGTCAGCGCCCGCCGCCCCTCCATGGCCCCAGCGGGACCACCCTCCTGGAAGGAGCCTCGCTGTGGGGGAGGCACTGTTCTGTAGGGAAGGGGCCACTCAGGGGCCTGGTCCCGGAGTGAGCAGAGGGACCCTGAGATGCAGTGGCCAGCCCCGTGGTGGGGGCCGGGGCTCCTGGGCCTGAGGGTGGCAGCCCCCCAGCGGGCAAGAGGCTTGCAGTCTGGGAGCCCAACATGGGGGTCCTCTGATGGGGGTGAGAGGTTCCCTACAGGTGTGGGGCTCTCCAACGGGAGTGTCGGGTGCCCTGTCATGGAAATGGAGTCCCCTAATGGAGGGGACATAGGGTTCCCTAACCTCAGTTGTGGGGTGCCCTGTTGGGGTATGTGGGAGTTCCCTATCGTGAGTATGGGGTTTGGGGACCTGGATTGTAGGGTTTTCCACTAGGGACGTGGGGTGCCCATTCGGGATATGGGGCTTCCTGGTGGGGCACGGGGTTCCTCAAGGACATGGGGTGCCCTGACGGGCGGGGACTCCCCGCGTGCAGGCCCCATCAGGGGTACAGGTGCTGATGAGTGCCACGCAGAGCACCTACGTGGAGGAGGAGGGCGTCTACCGATTCCACATGGAGCACCCTGTGCCCGCCTACCTCGTGGCCCTGGTGGCCGGGGACCTGCAGCCAGCAGACATCGGCCCCAGGTACAGCCTGTGCTTCCTGCCGCCGCCTGGGGCCCAGGCCTTGGGGAGACCCCGCCGCAGTCAGGGCGTGCGGCCTGCGCCAGCCCCCACGCTGGGGACCAGCCCTGCTCCCCCTTATTGCCATGACGCAGTGCTGGCCCAGCCAGGCCTCCCCCCGCACACGCCCCAGCCCTGGCAGCCCTGGCTGCGCCCTCTTCCAGCGCGGCTTCCTGCCGGGGACATGCCGCAGCCTGACGCGCCCCGAAGCCCGTGCAGGTTCCTTCCACTCAGAGACGGAAGGAGCCAGCGGCCCCTCAGCGTGTGGCTCTGCCCCCGCCACAGCAGGGCCTGCCCGGTGGCCGTCCAGGGAGGCCGCGTGGCGGGCGTGGGCCAGGCCTGCAGCCAGGGCGGGCCGCCTCAGTCCACCCTCTCCGCCCTGTGACAGGAGCCGCGTGTGGGCCGAGCCGTGCCTGCTGCCAACAGCCACCAGCAAGTTGTCGGGCGTGGTGGAGCAGTGGCTGAGCGCGGCGGAGCGGCTGTACGGGCCGTACATGTGGGGCAGGTACGGCCCGGGGCGCCTGGGAGCCGGGGCTGGCCACCGGAGGGGTCAGCGGGCAAGCCCCCTCCTCGCCGGGAGCAGCGCGCCCACCAGCCCCCCTCCCGCTGCAGGTATGACATCGTCTTCCTGCCCCCCTCCTTCCCCATCGTGGCCATGGAGAACCCCTGCCTCACCTTCATCATCTCCTCCATCCTGGAGAGTGACGAGTTCCTGGTCATCGACGTCATTCATGAGGTGGCCCACAGCTGGTTCGGCAACGCTGTCACCAACGCCACGTGGGAGGAGATGTGGCTGAGCGAGGGCCTGGCCACCTACGCCCAGCGCCGCATCACCACGGAGACCTACGGTACCGCCTGCGGCGGGCTGGGGGAGGGCGGTGGGGGCACCGCCAGGGCCACCCCGGCACGGAGCAGCGGTGGGGAGCCCGGCCCCCAGGGTGCAGGCCCCCCGACGTGCGCGTGTCCAGCAAGGCGGCCTTGCGTCAGCCCCACAGGGCTCCAGCGTCGCCGCGCTGGGTGCTCAGGCTGTGCCGCCTCCCTGCCCTGTGCAGGCGCTGCCTTCACCTGTCTGGAGACAGCCTTCCGCCTGGACGCCCTGCACAGGCAGATGAAGCTGCTGGGGGAGGACAGTCCAGTCAGCAAGCTGCAGGTCAAGCTGGAGCCAGGTACGCGCTCCCGGCCCGCGGGCCTCCTCGCCCACCCCGCGCTCGCTGTGTCCCCGCCAGCTGGATCCTGGCAAAGTCCAGGCGCCCCCAGCCCCAGGACGGCCTCCCCTAGGCCCCCCTCAGCCTGCTGCCACCTCTCACCTCTCACGGGCGCTCGGTACCCGTCGCCGTGATGGGTGGCCCCTCGGGCAGGGTGGGCCATGTCGCTGCGCTGCCAGGGCATCTGGATGCAGGGGGGACGGCGGTCTCCGGCCCTTCCGCTGCTCCCTGCCTGCCCGCCCCCACGCCCACCCCGTGCCCCGGGACACAGGAGGTGGGGCGCTGCCCAGAGCCCGTGTTGTTTCAGGGGTGAACCCAAGCCACCTGATGAACCTGTTCACCTATGAGAAGGGCTACTGCTTCGTCTACTACCTGTCCCAGCTCTGCGGGGACCCCCAGCGCTTCGACAACTTCCTGCGGGTGAGCAGTCTCCCCCCAGACAGGCCTCGCCCCGACTGCCCCGGCCCCACCCCAGGCCCACTGAGCCCCTCCCCCCACAGGCCTACGTGGACAAGTACAAGTTCACCAGCGTGGTGGCCCAGGACCTGCTGGACTCCTTCCTGAGCTTCTTCCCGGAGCTGAAGGAGCAGAGCGTGGACTGTCGGGCAGGTGAGGCCCGCCGCCCGCCGCACGTCCAGGCCGGCCACTCGGGGGCCGTGGGTGTGAGGGGTGGGGGCCTCACTGCACGAGATACCACCTCCGCCGGGAGAAAGCCCCTTGGGTTCACCCCTCCTTCCTTCAGCCAACCGTGGCTGGACAGTGTGGGCCTCGGGCTGGGAGGCCAGGGCAGCCGAGGGAGTGTGCTGCCCAGGCTGGCGGGGCCCAGGGAGCTTCCAGGAGGGGGCGGCACCTCGGCCAAGCGACCTAATTAGGGAGTCCCAGCAAGGGGGGCGTGGAGGGTGGAGGGAGGTTTGCCTGAGAGCTGGCTGAAGCCCGCTGGCCTGCTTGTGTGACACCCATGACAGTGTCCCTGGGATTCCAAGGGCAGGCTTGGGGGCCAAAGGAGAGACTAAGGGGTCTGACATGTAGGAGAGGCCAAGGTTTGCTGCAGGCAGTGAGGTGTGGCTAGGCGGACGGGGCGTGGTGACCCTGTTTAGAAGGTTTGGTAAGTGCGCCAGGGGTAGGTGGGGTGTGGATGGGCAGAGCCTGCCGCACAGCTCCCAGCACTGAGGTTGGGCTTAAAGTGCCTCATTGTCTTATACCCAGGAGAAGTGCGGAGGGGGTGGGGGTCCCTCAGTCCCCAACTCAAGCCTGGCCTCCCTGTGCCCCTTCACAGAAGCCACTCCAGTGGCTTGAAGTGGCAGGTGCGGGAGCTGACCCCAGCCTCTCCGAACTGCCCCTGGCCTGGGGCTCCCGGGCCCTGGAACAGTCACGCTCAGGGACACCCTCGGGGTCTGGCATCTCCTGGGCAGGCCTGCTTGATGGCCCCTTCCCAGCCCCGTGGGGACCCCAGGATGGCACCTCCCTGCAGGGCTGGAGTTTGAGCGCTGGCTGAACGCCACGGGCCCGCCGCTGGCCGAGCCGGATCTGTCTCAGGGGTCCAGCCTGACCCGGCCTGTGGAGGCCCTCTTCCAGCTGTGGACTGCAGAACCCCTGGACCAGGCAGCCGCCTCGGCCAGCGCCGTCGACATCTCCAAGTGGAGGACCTTCCAGACAGCGCTCTTTCTGGATCGGCTCCTGGACGGGTCCCCGCTGCCCCAGGGTGGGTCCCATGGTGGCAGGGTGGCTGGGGAGGGGTGTGCCTGCCGGCCCTGACCTGCCTGCGGCCCCACAGAGGTGGTGACCAGCCTGTCCAAGTGCTACTCGTCTCTGCTGGACTCCATGAATGCCGAGATCCGCATACGCTGGCTGCAGATCGTGGTCCGGAACGACTACTACCCTGACCTCCACCGCGTCCGGCGCTTCCTGGAGAGCCAGGTGCAGGCACCGGCACACCTGTCCCACCCTCCAGGCTGGCTGTCTGACTGGGCGTCCCGGGGAACGGGGTGGGAAGACCTGGCCTCAGGGCTGGCAGTGGGGGTGCGCGCCACAGGCGGAGAGCCCAGGCCCCGCCAGTCCTGGCGAGGCCGTGTCTGGAGGGGACAGGCTGGGAGCAGTCTGAGGTCTAGGCCCTGGGCCTGTGGGCACTGGGGTTCCTGGCCTAGGCATGGGGGCGTCTGAGCTCCTCGGCTCCCAGGCCTCTCCGTCCGGCCCCCCATCAGCACCTCCAGCCCGGCCCAAGCTCCCCGGAGCAGCCGGTGTGACGGGCGCCCACCCTCCCCACCCGCCCACAGATGTCGCGCATGTACACCATCCCGCTGTATGAAGACCTCTGCACCGGCGCCCTCAAATCCTTCGCCCTGGAGGTCTTCTACCAGACGCAGGGCCGGCTGCACCCAAACCTGCGCAGGACCATCCAGCAGATCCTGTCCCAGGGCCTGGGCCCCGGTGCCGAGCCCAGCGCGGAGCAGGGCGGGGCCCGGGCGGAGGCGGACACGGACACGCAGGCCCTGCTGCTGGGCGATGAGACCCCCAGCAGTGCCATCTCTCTCAGGGACGTCAACGTGTCTGCCTAGCCCTGACCTCCCAGACACCACCGTTGTGCCTTTTGTGGCCCAGGCCTGCCGGGACTGCACGTCAGCTCTGGCCACGACTTCCACTGGGGCCCACGCGTCCCTCCTGTGGGCTCTCCCAGGGACCTCCTCGTGGCTGCTGAGGCCCGTGGACCTTGTCCCCTCAGCTCTCTTGCACTGCAGGCCCCAAAGTGGCCAGCACTCGCCACGCCATCCTGTCTCAACACTGACTGCAGCTGCTGCCCCTGGGGTGACAGCCCGCAGTCCCTTGGCGACTGCCACACTGTGCCTTATGTCTGCCAGGAGCCTGGGCTGCGCTGTCCCCACAGCACGCCGCCTCCCTGCAGAGCCTCTGGGCTTGGCAGCCTCGGTCGGCCCCTGGCAGAGGAACAAGGATGCAGACATGCCCTTAGCATGGGGGCAGAGGACACTGAGGAAAGGGTGGATGTCCCTGGGGAAGGGCCCCGGGAAAGCCTTAGACCCTCAGGGAACACGGGGTCCCGGGCCCCAAGAGGAGTGGGACAAGACGTCTCTCTTGGGGCTGCCCGGGGCCACTGCCACAGGACCCCACGGGGAAGGGGCAGGTGGCGCTGGTGCTCTTTTAGGCCCACCGTGTTGGGGACCCCACGATCAGAGCTGGGCCAGCCAGGAGACCGTTGCAATGGGTCACTGTGATTGTGCCATTAAACCTCCACTCTGAAAATGACCTCTCAGCCTGTTTGTCCTTCATATTGTCCCAGCTTCTCTGGGGTGGGGTCAGGAGCTGGTCACAGCATGTCCTCCGACGCAGGCCTCTGGCCAGAGGCATGGCATGCTGAGTGGAGACAAGAGCCTGCCCCACACTCCAGCCACTCCTGGCCACCCTGGCTTTGCCTTGCAGCCCCAGAGGCCTGAGGACCAATGGCAGGTCTCTCGGAACCCCCACTGGACCCTTGGACATCAAAGCAAAGGAGGCTACTTGTCACCACCTTCACTCTGGTGGGCCTGTCCCAAACTAGAGTAGAGGTGAGTGGCGGGGGCAAGTTTGGTCTCGGAGGATGGAGACAGGCTTCGGTGGCCACTGGCACAGGTGCAATGGACAGTTGAGACAGGTGGGGCTCAGAAGAGGGACAGGTCAGGGGCTCCACTCAGTGTCACCATGAAGGACAGCCGAGCTGTGGGCAATGGAAGCAGTGCAGCCACTGAGTTTACACAGGGCGGTGTCCAGAATCTGCCACCCCCCCACCCCCCGCACCAGGGCCAGGTGGAGGCTTCACTCAACCCAGGGACTCGCAACTGGAGGGCCCGTCACTCTCCCGCAGGGACGGACTGGGCCGCTGCAGCAACCCGAGGAAGCGGGACACGGAAGGTGCCCACAGCCCCCGCCCCGCCGGGCAGACGCTGTGAGGGACCCTGTCCTGGGAGTGGGCGCCCAGTCCAGGGCTCCCAGGGGCTCCGTCGTCTTCCTGTCTTCTCAGCAGCCCTGCACATGGCACTGACCAAGGTGCCTCCTTAGGGGCAGAACTGCTTGCTGTCCAGCCTCTTCCCTGGGAGGCTGTGTTCAACTCGGCGGCAACTTTCCAGGCCCGGGCTCCGGGTTTCTTTGGCACTGCTGCTCTCACACAGGCGGTGGTCTGTCCCCCCACGTGCTCGCTTCCCGCTCCTTGGGCCTGCAGCCACGCCCCAGCCCTCCTGGGTCACGGCTGAGGGGCCTCAGTCCACCGGCCAGCTCTACCCGGCTGTCCTTTCCTGAGTCCCTCCTGCAGCTCAGGAGCAGCTCCCAGCAGTCACACGGGGCGACGCCTGCTGCTCCATGTCCATGCCAGTACCCCAGCTCTGATGTGCCCCCTGGGGTGAGCGGGAAGGACTGCTGTCCAGCTGGGAGCGCCTGCATCCCTGGCCTTTCTCACCTCCTCTCCTCGCAGCTTGCAAACCCAGAACTCTTTCCAGCACACCTCTTCCTTGTAGTGTCTTGCCACACACAGCCTGTGATCAGCACATGCTAATGTCCCCCACCCCACCCCCGACTGAGGTATTTCAGACATCATCAGCCTCGTGAGTCATTGCAGCTGAGTTTTCCCAATGTTTGCCAACATTCCGCTTCCAGCACTGGGCCTCGGCCAGCCCCCGCGGGAGCCAAGGGCACACGCGTCCTGCTGCACCCCCCTTGTGGGGGCCGGCAGGCTGGAATGCCCCAGCAACAGGCAACTCCGAAAGACCACCATTTCCAACCACAAAGGTTTATTTTACACTCGTGCTGCTTGTACACTTCAGGTGGCAGTGGGCTGGGGTCTTCCCGTCACTGGATCGTCAGGGGCCCGTGCTGAGGGGAAGAGCACCTGGAACATTCCAGGCAGCTCGCCAGATAAGCAAAGGGCTCACACGAGTGATCGGGCGCGCACGGGCCCCACGCAACCACTCCTGTCACGTGCACGGCAATGGGGGCTTGGCACATGGCCGAACATCCACCGTAAGGGCCGACACCACAATGTTGGGGAACAGCTGCGTTTTCCGGACAGGAGCGAGTGCTGAGGCGGTAGGAGTGGTGTCCACGGAGTCAGGGGACGCTGTCCAAAAAGGGGAGGGGCGGGCCACATATGTGGGATGGGCTGGGGGGGCCAAGGGAGGTGGGGCCTTGACCAAGGCTTCTGCCAGGAGGCAGGCTGGCCAGCCGAGGAAGNCTGGGAGCCGGGGCTAGCCACCGGAGGGGTCAGCGGGCAAGCCCCCTCCTCGCCGGGAGCAGCGCGCCCACCAGCCCCCCTCCCGCTGCAGGTATGACATCGTCTTCCTGCCCCCCTCCTTCCCCATCGTGGCCATGGAGAACCCCTGCCTCACCTTCATCATCTCCTCCATCCTGGAGAGTGACGAGTTCCTGGTCATCGACGTCATTCATGAGGTGGCCCACAGCTGGTTCGGCAACGCTGTCACCAACGCCACGTGGGAGGAGATGTGGCTGAGCGAGGGCCTGGCCACCTACGCCCAGCGCCGCATCACCACGGAGACCTACGGTACCGCCTGCGGCGGGCTGGGGGAGGGCGGTGGGGGCACCGCCAGGGCCACCCCGGCACGGAGCAGCGGTGGGGAGCCCGGCCCCCAGGGTGCAGGCCCCCCGACGTGCGCGTGTCCAGCAAGGCGGCCTTGCGTCAGCCCCACAGGGCTCCAGCGTCGCCGCGCTGGGTGCTCAGGCTGTGCCGCCTCCCTGCCCTGTGCAGGCGCTGCCTTCACCTGTCTGGAGACAGCCTTCCGCCTGGACGCCCTGCACAGGCAGATGAAGCTGCTGGGGGAGGACAGTCCAGTCAGCAAGCTGCAGGTCAAGCTGGAGCCAGGTACGCGCTCCCGGCCCGCGGGCCTCCTCGCCCACCCCGCGCTCGCTGTGTCCCCGCCAGCTGGATCCTGGCAAAGTCCAGGCGCCCCCAGCCCCAGGACGGCCTCCCCTAGGCCCCCCTCAGCCTGCTGCCACCTCTCACCTCTCACGGGCGCTCGGTACCCGTCGCCGTGATGGGTGGCCCCTCGGGCAGGGTGGGCCATGTCGCTGCGCTGCCAGGGCATCTGGATGCAGGGGGGACGGCGGTCTCCGGCCCTTCCGCTGCTCCCTGCCTGCCCGCCCCCACGCCCACCCCGTGCCCCGGGACACAGGAGGTGGGGCGCTGCCCAGAGCCCGTGTTGTTTCAGGGGTGAACCCAAGCCACCTGATGAACCTGTTCACCTATGAGAAGGGCTACTGCTTCGTCTACTACCTGTCCCAGCTCTGCGGGGACCCCCAGCGCTTCGACAACTTCCTGCGGGTGAGCAGTCTCCCCCCAGACAGGCCTCGCCCCGACTGCCCCGGCCCCACCCCAGGCCCACTGAGCCCCTCCCCCCACAGGCCTACGTGGACAAGTACAAGTTCACCAGCGTGGTGGCCCAGGACCTGCTGGACTCCTTCCTGAGCTTCTTCCCGGAGCTGAAGGAGCAGAGCGTGGACTGTCGGGCAGGTGAGGCCCGCCGCCCGCCGCACGTCCAGGCCGGCCACTCGGGGGCCGTGGGTGTGAGGGGTGGGGGCCTCACTGCACGAGATACCACCTCCGCCGGGAGAAAGCCCCTTGGGTTCACCCCTCCTTCCTTCAGCCAACCGTGGCTGGACAGTGTGGGCCTCGGGCTGGGAGGCCAGGGCAGCCGAGGGAGTGTGCTTCCCAGGCTGGCGGGGCCCAGGGAGCTTCCAGGAGGGGGTGGCACCTCGGCCAAGCGACCTAATTAGGGAGTCCCAGCAAGGGGGGCGTGGAGGGTGGAGGGAGGTTTGCCTGAGAGCTGGCTGAAGCCCGCTGGCCTGCTTGTGTGACACCCATGACAGTGTCCCTGGGATTCCAAGGGCAGGCTTGGGGGCCAAAGGAGAGACTAAGGGGTCTGACATGTAGGAGAGGCCAAGGTTTGCTGCAGGCAGTGAGGTGTGGCTAGGCGGACGGGGCGTGGTGACCCTGTTTAGAAGGTTTGGTAAGTGCGCCAGGGGTAGGTGGGGTGTGGATGGGCAGAGCCTGCCGCACAGCTCCCAGCACTGAGGTTGGGCTTAAAGTGCCTCATTGTCTTATACCCAGGAGAAGTGCGGAGGGGGTGGGGGTCCCTCAGTCCCCAACTCAAGCCTGGCCTCCCTGTGCCCCTTCACAGAAGCCACTCCAGTGGCTTGAAGTGGCAGGTGCGGGAGCTGACCCCAGCCTCTCCGAACTGCCCCTGGCCTGGGGCTCCCGGGCCCTGGAACAGTCACGCTCAGGGACACCCTCGGGGTCTGGCATCTCCTGGGCAGGCCTGCTTGATGGCCCCTTCCCAGCCCCGTGGGGACCCCAGGATGGCACCTCCCTGCAGGGCTGGAGTTTGAGCGCTGGCTGAACGCCACGGGCCCGCCGCTGGCCGAGCCGGATCTGTCTCAGGGGTCCAGCCTGACCCGGCCTGTGGAGGCCCTCTTCCAGCTGTGGACTGCAGAACCCCTGGACCAGGCAGCCGCCTCGGCCAGCGCCGTCGACATCTCCAAGTGGAGGACCTTCCAGACAGCGCTCTTTCTGGATCGGCTCCTGGACGGGTCCCCGCTGCCCCAGGGTGGGTCCCATGGTGGCAGGGTGGCTGGGGAGGGGTGTGCCTACCGGCCCTGACCTGCCTGCGGCCCCACAGAGGTGGTGACCAGCCTGTCCAAGTGCTACTCGTCTCTGCTGGACTCCATGAATGCCGAGATCCGCATACGCTGGCTGCAGATCGTGGTCCGGAACGACTACTACCCTGACCTCCACCGCGTCCGGCGCTTCCTGGAGAGCCAGGTGCAGGCACCGGCACACCTGTCCCACCCTCCAGGCTGGCTGTCTGACTGGGCGTCCCGGGGAACGGGGTGGGAAGACCTGGCCTCAGGGCTGGCAGTGGGGGTGCGCGCCACAGGCGGAGAGCCCAGGCCCCGCCAGTCCTGGCGAGGCCGTGTCTGGAGGGGACAGGCTGGGAGCAGTCTGAGGTCTAGGCCCTGGGCCTGTGGGCACTGGGGTTCCTGGCCTAGGCATGGGGGCGTCTGAGCTCCTCGGCTCCCAGGCCTCTCCGTCCGGCCCCCCATCAGCACCTCCAGCCCGGCCCAAGCTCCCCGGAGCAGCCGGTGTGACGGGCGCCCACCCTCCCCACCCGCCCACAGATGTCGCGCATGTACACCATCCCGCTGTATGAAGACCTCTGCACCGGCGCCCTCAAATCCTTCGCCCTGGAGGTCTTCTACCAGACGCAGGGCCGGCTGCACCCAAACCTGCGCAGGACCATCCAGCAGATCCTGTCCCAGGGCCTGGGCCCCGGTGCCGAGCCCAGCGCGGAGCAGGGCGGGGCCCGGGCGGAGGCGGACACGGACACGCAGGCCCTGCTGCTGGGCGATGAGACCCCCAGCAGTGCCATCTCTCTCAGGGACGTCAACGTGTCTGCCTAGCCCTGACCTCCCAGACACCACCGTTGTGCCTTTTGTGGCCCAGGCCTGCCGGGACTGCACGTCAGCTCTGGCCACGACTTCCACTGGGGCCCACGCGTCCCTCCTGTGGGCTCTCCCAGGGACCTCCTCGTGGCTGCTGAGGCCCGTGGACCTTGTCCCCTCAGCTCTCTTGCACTGCAGGCCCCAAAGTGGCCAGCACTCGCCACGCCATCCTGTCTCAACACTGACTGCAGCTGCTGCCCCTGGGGTGACAGCCCGCAGTCCCTTGGCGACTGCCACACTGTGCCTTATGTCTGCCAGGAGCCTGGGCTGCGCTGTCCCCACAGCACGCCGCCTCCCTGCAGAGCCTCTGGGCTTGGCAGCCTCGGTCGGCCCCTGGCAGAGGAACAAGGATGCAGACGTGCCCTTAGCATGGGGGCAGAGGACACTGAGGAAAGGGTGGATGTCCCTGGGGAAGGGCCCCGGGAAAGCCTTAGACCCTCAGGGAACACGGGGTCCCGGGCCCCAAGAGGAGTGGGACAAGACGTCTCTCTTGGGGCTGCCCGGGGCCACTGCCACAGGACCCCACGGGGAAGGGGCAGGTGGCGCTGGTGCTCTTTTAGGCCCACCGTGTTGGGGACCCCACGATCAGAGCTGGGCCAGCCAGGAGACCGTTGCAATGGGTCACTGTGATTGTGCCATTAAACCTCCACTCTGAAAATGACCTCTCAGCCTGTTTGTCCTTCATATTGTCCCAGCTTCTCTGGGGTGGGGTCAGGAGCTGGTCACAGCATGTCCTCCGACGCAGGCCTCTGGCCAGAGGCATGGCATGCTGAGTGGAGACAAGAGCCTGCCCCACACTCCAGCCACTCCTGGCCACCCTGGCTTTGCCTTGCAGCCCCAGAGGCCTGAGGACCAATGGCAGGTCTCTCGGAACCCCCACTGGACCCTTGGACATCAAAGCAAAGGAGGCTACTTGTCACCACCTTCACTCTGGTGGGCCTGTCCCAAACTAGAGTAGAGGTGAGTGGCGGGGGCAAGTTTGGTCTCGGAGGATGGAGACAGGCTTCGGTGGCCACTGGCACAGGTGCAATGGACAGTTGAGACAGGTGGGGCTCAGAAGAGGGACAGGTCAGGGACTCCACTCAGTGTCACCATGAAGGACAGCCGAGCTGTGGGCAATGGAAGCAGTGCAGCCACTGAGTTTACACAGGGCGGTGTCCAGAATCTGCCACCCCCCCACCCCCCGCACCAGGGCCAGGTGGAGGCTTCACTCAACCCAGGGACTCGCAACTGGAGGGCCCGTCACTCTCCCGCAGGGACGGACTGGGCCGCTGCAGCAACCCGAGGAAGCGGGACACGGAAGGTGCCCACAGCCCCCGCCCCGCCGGGCAGACGCTGTGAGGGACCCTGTCCTGGGAGTGGGCGCCCAGTCCAGGGCTCCCAGGGGCTCCGTCGTCTTCCTGTCTTCTCAGCAGCCCTGCACATGGCACTGACCAAGGTGCCTCCTTAGGGGCAGAACTGCTTGCTGTCCAGCCTCTTCCCTGGGAGGCTGTGTTCAACTCGGCGGCAACTTTCCAGGCCCGGGCTCCGGGTTTCTTTGGCACTGCTGCTCTCACACAGGCGGTGGTCTGTCCCCCCACGTGCTCGCTTCCCGCTCCTTGGGCCTGCAGCCACGCCCCAGCCCTCCTGGGTCACGGCTGAGGGGCCTCAGTCCACCGGCCAGCTCTACCCGGCTGTCCTTTCCTGAGTCCCTCCTGCAGCTCAGGAGCAGCTCCCAGCAGTCACACGGGGCGACGCCTGCTGCTCCATGTCCCTGCCAGTACCCCAGCTCTGATGTGCCCCCTGGGGTGAGCGGGAAGGACTGCTGTCCAGCTGGGAGCGCCTGCATCCCTGGCCTTTCTCACCTCCTCTCCTCGCAGCTTGCAAACCCAGAACTCTTTCCAGCACACCTCTTCCTTGTAGTGTCTTGCCACACACAGCCTGTGATCAGCACATGCTAATGTCCCCCACCCCACCCCCGACTGAGGTATTTCAGACATCATCAGCCTCGTGAGTCATTGCAGCTGAGTTTTCCCAATGTTTGCCAACATTCCGCTTCCAGCACTGGGCCTCGGCCAGCCCCCGCGGGAGCCAAGGGCACACGCGTCCTGCTGCACCCCCCTTGTGGGGGCCGGCAGGCTGGAATGCCCCAGCAACAGGCAACTCCGAAAGACCACCATTTCCAACCACAAAGGTTTATTTTACACTCGTGCTGCTTGTACACTTCAGGTGGCAGTGGGCTGGGGTCTTCCCGTCACTGGATCGTCAGGGGCCCGTGCTGAGGGGAAGAGCACCTGGAACATTCCAGGCAGCTCGCCAGATAAGCAAAGGGCTCACACGAGTGATCGGGCGCGCACGGGCCCCACGCAACCACTCCTGTCACGTGCACGGCAATGGGGGCTTGGCACATGGCCGAACATCCACCGTAAGGGCCGACACCACAATGTTGGGGAACAGCTGCGTTTTCCGGACAGGAGCGAGTGCTGAGGCGGTAGGAGTGGTGTCCACGGAGTCAGGGGACGCTGTCCAAAAAGGGGAGGGGCGGGCCACATATGTGGGATGGGCTGGGGGGGCCAAGGGAGGTGGGGCCTTGACCAAGGCTTCTGCCAGGAGGCAGGCTGGCCAGCCGAGGAAGTCGAGGAAGTCGGGAGCCCCAGCTGCCTGGAGCGTCTCTAGGCCTGAGGTCCCAGCAGGTGTTCTGTGCCCCTCAGGCGTGTCCTGTGCAGTCCAGGCTGGTCACTCCCGCACCCACTCTTAGTGGTGGTAAATCCCCGTCTCCCGGGCCAGACGCTGGGCAGACCTCCCGGGAGCTTCAGGTCTAAAGCCGCGCTCACATTGGGAGCAGAAGTGAAGCATGTGAGGCCGGGCCACACACTCAAGGGACCATGCTGCCACCTGGGCAGCGGGCTGGCAGAGCCGTCACACTCCATAAGCCACGGAGCCGAAATCCGTCACACGAGGGGGCTTGGAGAAAACCAGAAAGCAGGGCCGGGCACCTGAGACAAAGCAAGTATGAAAACAGAGCCTGCCACTCATTAAGAGCGCGATTATTAAAATAGAAAACGAAAGCTCAGTAAAGGTTGCGATGAAGATGGGGTGTGTGGGCTGGAATAGTGACAGCGCCTCCCGGGGGCAGCAAAGGGGCTCTGAAAAGGGACAGTGAAGTAGCAGGACCTACTGAAGCCCCTGGGGTCCCGCAGACACACCTAAAGCCACACAGAGACGTTCACATTGATCGAGGCAGCCTCGCTCCACACCGGGGCCCTCTCCGCGGGCCCTCGCCCACCGCCGGTCCCCAGCCACTGCCTCCCCTCCCCCATCAGACCTCCGCCGCCAGGCTGAGCCACCGTGGCAGCCACGCCCTGGGCAGCCCGCCTGTCAACATGTCTTCCCTGACACAGACGGTCCTTCACTTGGAAGAGTCTGATGTTAGCTGTTAAGACTGTACTTTTTCCACTTTCTATAAATAGTTACCTGGCCAGACCCAGGAAGAACTGAAGCCCGAGCAGGGAAATGATTGCTAAACGTGGGGCGTGGTCAGGCTGTCCACAGCACCTGGCCCAGCGTTTCTGAGGGCCTCTCGTGGGCTCGGGGCAGGGTGCTAAGGAGATCACTGCCACCCACCCGGGCCCAGACAAGCCTCTCCTTGTTGAAAAACGAATGAGCAGGCAGAGAGAAAAAGATTCCACCATCTGAACGTGGCGGCACCCGCGACGCAGAGCAGCCCACGCTGCAACGCGCCCACTTCCGAGGACTGCAGGCAACTGGAAATGCATCGTGTTCATAGTAAAACTTAAGAACACGTGACCATGTAGGAGCAACTTAGGGGAACTTCCTGTGAGGAGCATGTATTGTTTTTATACTGGGGTTGTAAAAACACCCCAAGCTCAACCTAAAACATCACCCAAAAAGAACCCACGCCTCCTGCAGCCATGAGCAAAGTGATGGAGGTCTGCCTGGCTTGTGATCTCGCTGCCCCGCGTGGAGCCACTGTGTCCTGCCCACAGCTGCGCCGTCCTGGGCTTCCCGCCTTCGCCCTTCCAAGCTCCGATTGTAAGATGGGACCCTGATACCTACTGGTGGGACGTGAAGGTCACACGAACTTGCTGTCTCCTCGTTTCAAATGTGTGACCCTTCGACCCTTAGGGGTGGACCCCTCCTCACTTGTCTTGGAGAAGCGCCCACGGTTGCTGGTAAGAGCGGGTGGTCCCTCAGCGGAGCCCTCAGGCCAGGGGAGGGCGAGACCCAAGCTCCCAGGACGCCATTCCCCCTCAGCTAGGACATCCCACACAGGCCGTCCCTTTCGGCCCAGGGCTGTGACCTGCATTGACCAGACCACGCTCCACAGCCCAGGGCCATGGCCCTCACTGACCTCTCTCAGCCCAGGGCCAGCCAAGCACTTTACACCGTTTCTCACTTAATCCCGACAACTACCCTGGGCCCTCTGAACCTGGGGATTTACAGGTGAGATGACAGAGGCCCACGGAGCGGCCAGGACACCTGACCAGCAGGACCAGGCTTCCTGTGACTCTTGCT